AAAGAACTTCATAATATTAATTAGACCGTTTATAGGTAGCTTGCACTTTGATTTTAAAAGAAGTTGAGCAATTACTCATATTAAAAAAAAAATGGAGAATTCTCTAAAGCAAAAAACCTTGAAAAGGTACTCCATACTCGGATTTTCAGGAGTCGTATGTTTAACACAAAATCGACTAATATATGTGTGTAATGTTTTTTTGTTTTGTTTTGTTTTTTTGTTTTTTTTTCAAGTGATCTTTTCTTCCCCATTACTCATTACTCATAGTGAAAAATAAAAAGCAAGAAATTCTTTGGTATCAATACGGTATGAAAATTTACCTTACCATTGAACTCAAATTTTAACCGCTTAATTGTCATACTTTATTTAATTTTGTATAATTCTTATTTGATCTCACACGGTCTAAAATTGGATCTACATAATTTGAAAATTATCTTATCAGTTTTTTTTATATAAAAAAAACACAGAAAAAAAATCGACCACAAAAAACTAGTGAACAAATATTGTTCCATCATTGACGTCACTATACCAAAGCAATTTACTCACAAAAGACCAAAGTCTCTTTCTGACTATTTTTTGCAAAAGACCAAAGTCTCCTTCTGACGTTTTTGCAACTTGCAAAATCTTTGGGCGTCTCCATATTTTAAGCTTAATTATCGCCATAACTTTTTTTTTCTTTTTTCTTTTTCTTTTTCCGTCCAATATGTTTACTACTTTTAGTTGCCCATAATTTGACAATTGAGTTGTTATAATAAAATTATAGTAACATCTAACTTTTTTTTTTCTTAAGAGACGATGAAAAGTAACAACCAGTAAAATCTAAACGAGAAAAGACATAACAAAAAATTTCAAACGAAAAACAAAACAACAAAAAAAAAAAAAATCCTTAGAAGGCCAATTAGACCCTATAAACAGCACAAAACATGCTAAAAACCCTAACCTAACAAGTCGGAATATGATGCCGGACCGAAAAGCCAACACCGAATAAAGCTTAATCCAAGATAAACCTTATAAAAAACTTAGCTAAAAAACCCCGGAGGAAAAAACCTAGTTAGACAAGAAGAAAGAGTGTCCACACTTATCAATCTATCAAAATTACAAACTAAATCGAAGCAGCGTGAATGATCTAACATAATTAATTAAATATTTCACCTACGTCTTAATCATGTAAAATTACACTTATCAACCCATGATGTGACAAAATATTTGTCAGACAAAATATGCAATACTATTAGTGAAACATCATTTACTAATTATTTTTTAAGAAGTCAATTGGCACATTATTTAGGTATTGAAATTTTGGTAAACAATTTACAAATTATGCATGTAGCATTAGTCTTAGTGTCTTTTTACATCCGTATTATCTCTAATTAAGAAAGTCAATCATACAGACATAATAACAAGGGTTTTTTTTTGCATTAATACCCCTGAATTTATCACAATTTGCAAATCAGTCCCTGAGCTTAAAATATTGGAAATTGACCCCTTGAATTCGCAAATCAGTCTTTTTGCTCACGTTCAGGGAGTCAATTGCAAAAATTTTTAGTTTAAGAACTGATTTGTCAATTGTGATAAGTTTAGGGGGGCAAGCATTCAAAAACGCCAAATAATAATGTAATGTTACGTGTGAAATTCAAAATAATAATGAAATCTGCTTGATTAAATTTGACGGCCTCAACTTCATTTTTGCTACATGGGAGTGCCATTGCCTAACTGGTAGCAGTACTTGTTTTCTGGTATGACTTGGAGACGTGGTTCTATTAGGATTAATGCCTTTATAAGAACAAAATAACAAGCAAAGAAAAGTGTTTCAGGAGACTTGTGTTCACTTAAAATTTATGTAATAAAGTAATAATGTCTCACAGTGAATATTAGGGGAAAAAATTGAATAATAGGGTACGGTGGTGGGCTTCTTTTGAAGGTTGTGATGTGGGCTCTAGACCTCGACAGAGGCCGCACGTGTGTTTCACATTCTTCTGTTTGAAGACATCTCGTCAGTTTTGTTATTTGTTCCTCGAAGCATTTTTCCTACCTTGATATAATCCCCTTATCGGTTGTACTTTCTATTGAAGACTTGCTTAGGTTTTATGTCACAACTCGAAAATGGATTTTTCCTACACAGATTGTCTGTGACATAAAAAGAAACATATTAATGAAAAACTAGCTAAGTGAGGAATCATGTGTCAAGAGAACTTTTACATCTGATCTTATATCATCAAAAAAAATCTTCACTTACATTGTGGTCCAACAGTTGCAAAGCTTGGGTCCATTAACCTCAAGAAAGATGCAACTCGTAAGGCAGTTGTCCTTTTAAAACTTGAAGAGCATAATGAAACGGGACCACCTTAGGTAGAATAATATTGCTCTGGGAGATACAAAATGGTCTGCTTTAACACTAAATACATGCTCTAGTGTTTTTTGAGCCAGGTTTTTATTATCCCAAATTTGTGGCTTTGTATAAGTAATATGCAAATAAGCACAACAATATTATGTTTGGTGAAGAAAGAATCTAAATAAAGTTATTATAGGACTTTTTGTGTCACGGAGCTAACTCCACAAGGACAATCCTCTGCCTTCCTCTCTGTCAAAAATATATTGGATGGACAGAGATGAAGACAGAGGATCCGGGTCCAACTCACAGTTACCAATTTTTAGAATTTGGGACCTGTTTAGTTCGCTGATTCGAGTTTTTCATTTGAGTTGAGATATAATTTTATGTAAGAATTTTTTATTATAATAAAAAAATTAAATGTAACTGTTTTTTAGAGCTTTTTATTATAGTAAAACTCAAATTATAAATCCGAATCGGTGAAACGAATGAGATCTATTAGTCAAATCTCTTGATTGAAATAAGATACATGGCCATGCACAATATCTTTCTTTCTTTCTTTCTCTGTCTTTTTTTTTTTTTTTTTTTTTACTTCCT